TACCATCTTATCATTGAGTACCACCCAGGCAAGGCCAATGTGGTGGCAGATGCCTTGAGCCGGAAGAGCTCATCTGGGGCATTGATAGCTAATTTGAGGGCTTTAAGGGCCCAACTGGAGGTATCCAGCAATGGAGCCTTATTGGCACGGTTTGAGGTGAGACCTACTTTAATTGATGAGATCAAGAAGGGTCAGGAAACTGACGAGGAAATCATGAGGATCCGGGAGCGCATGCAAGCGGGACCAGTGGAGGACTTCAGGGAAAGAGATGATGGTCTCTTACTATTTCGTGAGCGAGTGTGTGTGCCGGCAGATGATGAGCTCCGAAAGTCCATCTTAGAGGAAGCTCATTCATCGGCTTACGCCATGCACCCGGGGGGCACGAAGATGTACCGTGACTTGAAAGAGAGTTACTGGTGGTCTGGTATGAAGAGAGAAATAGCCGAGTACATCAGTAGATGCCTTACTTGTCAGCAAGTTAAGGCAGAACATCAGCATCCAGCTGGGTTATTGCAGCCACTTTCCATTCCAGAATGGAAATGGGAGCACGTGACCATGGATTTTGTGGTAGGACTGCCACGGACCGTGAGGAATTATGATGCGGTATGGGTTGTGGTTGATAGGCTCACGAAGAGTGCACATTTTCTACCTATCAACACTACCTATGCACTTGAGAGGTTAGCCAAGTTGTATGTGGATGAGATCGTGAGGCTACATGGGGTTCCTATAACCATTGTGTCCGACAGGGATCCACGATTCACATCACGATTTTGGCCGAAGTTCCAAGAGTCCATGGGAACGAAGTTGAAGTTCAGTACTGCTTTTCATCCTCAGACAGATGGGCAATCCGAGAGGGTTATACAGATCTTGGAGGATATGTTGAGGGCTTGTGCTTTGGAGTTCCAAGGAAGTTGGGACAACCATTTAGCACTTGTTGAGTTTGCCTATAACAACAGTTATCAGGCAAGCATCGGCATGCCTCCATACGAAGCATTGTATGGGAGGAAATGTCGTACACCGTTGTGTTGGGACGAGGTTGGCATGGCCAAGCTCGAGAGCACGGAATTGGTGGAGATCACCAAGTCAAAGGTAAAGATAGTTCGAGAGAGGCTTAAGGCGGCCCAGGATAGACAGAAGAGTTATGCCGATAAACGCCGAAGAGCCTTGGAATTCAAGGTGGGAGATGAGGTATTCTTGAAAGTTTCGCCTTGGAAAGGAATCATCCGATTCCAAAGCCGAGGAAAACTTAACCCACGATACATTGGGCCATTTGTAATTCTTGAGAGGATTGGGGCCGTAGCATACCGATTGCAGTTGACTCCAGAGTTGGAGAAGATACATAACGTGTTCCACGTGTCTATGCTAAAGAGATATGTGCCGGATCCGTCTCATGTGTTAGAGAAACCACCTGTGGAAATACGGGAAGACTTGAACTATGCCGTTCGACCGGTAAGAATTCTTGATAGGCAAGTAAAGAAATTAAGAAGCAAGAAAGTGCCAATGGTTAAAATCCTTTGGAAAAGTGACCGAGTTGAAGAAGAAACTTGGGAAACGGAAGCCTTAATGAAGGAACAATACGCATTTTTGTTTGAGTAAGCATTTGTGAATTTCGGGGACGAAATTCCCGTTAAGGGGGGGTGAACTTGTGACACCGCACCCGAATGTACTTGAATTTGAAAGTGGATATGCATTGAATTTTCTAGCGAATAAAATTCGTGTAATTAATTGGCATATTTAATTAATGTGCGATTAATCAAATTATTTATCGGATCCATTAAATGTGAATGGGCTACCAAATATTTAGTTGGGCTATCATAAAAAAATCATAGGGGTCCAATAAAACGCCAACCGAAGTTGATAAAAATATTTGGACAACCCGAGTGCTATTTTGGCCCAACCCGTCAAAAATAGCAGGAATAATTGGGAGGAACTTCCTACACCCACTTGGGGTATTTTCACACCCCATTTGACCCCAAAATAATGGGGAGGGGACAAGGAAATAGGGGAGGGGCGAGCTGGGCATGGGAGGAAGTCCCATTGAGACAAAGTCCATACCCCATGTCTTGTCCTTGGATTATTTTTGCCATTTGATTGAGAAGGCATCTTCTCATCCCCTTCCCACATTATTCTACACCACTCGAGCAAAGGATAGAGCCAGAGAGAGCTTGGAAGAAACTCTCACAAGTTCCAAGCTTGAAGGAAGCATCACAAAAGAAAATCCAAGGAGGAGAGGGTTGTTCTTGAGGTAAGAACACAACTAGTATTTCTTTAACTAGTATTATTTTGTATGATTTTTAATAAATCATATGGTGGATTAAACATGAAGTTCTACACGTTTAAAAGTGTAGAATAATGTTATAAAGTGGTGATATTTAACTTAGAAGGGTCGTGGAATCGATAGGAGTTGAAATCGCCGGAAACCGCCAAGTATAGGAGGCTGTTCGTAGCTGCAGACCACGAAAGCCGCCCACCTTTCACGAAAGCCGCCCGGCTTTCGTCTGCTGCCCAGATTTTTCCATCTCCAAACGGTTTAGAACGGGGATTGATCGAAGGGCTTAACAAGGACAACTATTTCAGCACTTCATAAGGTGAGGATGGCTGACTATATTGCTTATAATCTTTGGGTTAATTTCATAAGATTACCTAAAGTAATTAAATGTGATTTTCATGGATTATTAATGGTTAATAATGCCTAAATGAAAATATCATTGTTTGTGAATAGAAGATGCATAACATACAAATTTATGAGGAAATTGTGTATGATGATGCATAATAAATGCGAAGGTATAATGATGGTATAAACCATGAATTTTTGTGATAAAATATACTTTTACTTCATGTATGGAAATCATGAATGGACAAAAGTGATATTTTTGATATTGAGATTAAATCGTATACGGATTTGAAAAATCCATAGGAATGAGCCTTATAACTATGAGTTAAGGAGTTTGGCTGTTTAAAGATTTATGGATTAGTATTTATTTTACTAATCGGGAATGTTGTATAAAAAGTGTTAGAACAAATCCTAAGGATTTGGATTGTGAAGGATGCACCTTAAGTAGTCTTATGAGATGCCTTAAGGTAGAAATGGGTAACCACTAAGTTACATTAGGAGTAGGCCTCATTGGCTACTCAAGATTGAGGAACTCTAGGCATAGAATTTGCTAGTGAGTTAGTATCGTGACTAGAGGAAGCCTCTAGCACGATGAAGAATGACTGGAGGAAGCCTCCAGCATTCGTGTAGGACGAACTAGTATCGTGACTAGAGGAAGCCTCTAGCACGATGAAGAATGACTGGAGGAAGCCTCTAGCATTCGTGTAGGATGACTAGAGGAAGCCTCTAGCATAATGAAATGTGACTGGAGGAAGCCTCCAGCACAAAGTATGTAAGGTGATTAGAGGAAGCCTCTAACACCGAATTTAGTGACTAGAGTAAGCCTCTAGCACGGCAAAACATGACTAGAGGAAGCCTCTAGCATGGTGAATTTAATATAGATGGGCGTGGCTTGAAGTCACGGGGAAAGGGTTGAACGTTTTCAAAGTAAAACATGGGTCTTCGGGCCGACTACTTGACTTTATATATATAAAGTAAGTATATTTTTCAAAAGAGGGTAACCACGGGTTATGACCTATATTATATTATCACTCTATTTGAGGGTCTTGGAAATTGAAACTTTGATTATACTTAGTATAGTTGTCATTGTACTTGTCAAATGCTTCCAAGTACTGACCTCCCCTTCACGGGGGAGGCCACCTCACAGTTTCAGGTAGGGGATAAAGCTCGCTACCTTTGCCGTTGCTTGGAAAGCTCGAAGGAGAGAAGACGTGGTTCGTGCTTCCTCCGTATCTATTTTAAAAACAATTAAATAAATGCTCATGGATATTGTTTTGAATATTTATTTGGGGCTTGTATGCCCGTGTTTTCCACGTGTGGCTCGGATATTTATATTAATGTTTCCGCTGCTTAAATTAAATGTTTTACATTGTGATTGTTTATGGATGTACTATTGTGATTGATATTCAAGACGCCTAGTATAGTATGGATGAGTTGGACTGCGGTTGACTATTCGTACTGTACGGCGGGTTGTTGACGTGTCCGGTAGGTCCGGGGCGTGACACAGACAGCCTAAACAACTTTTGGAACTTAATATTTAATTAAACTAACTTCTGGTGAAGAGAAGTTAATTAAAATTTGACAAAAGTTAGTTATTAAATATTGGCAATTTAATCCACAAATTTAATTAAACTAACTTCTGTCTTTCCAGAGCTTTATTAACTGAAAAGTAGCTTCATTAATAATTTCTCTAATAATTTTGCAAACATTTACGAATCCCATCCCCAGATTCGTAATAATTACTGGGGAACCAGCTGGCAACCGCCCAGAATGCTAATTTGACGAAAATTTGAAACAATGTGGACCTGATTGCTTAAATTTAAAGTACACGGACTCAATTAAATTTTTGGTTAAAGTAAGTGGACCAATAATCTGACAATTTTCCCTTCTAAATATTTATGCTCTAATAATAATTTCTTTTGAACCGCCACTAATCATAAATTTTTAATTTTACTGCGTAGTACTACATACTATCGTGTATAATACCTTCAAATTCAAATAATAAAACTATTACTCCGTAATATATTCATTTGTGTTGTTATACGTACTAGCTCGTATAGTCGTATATAATTGTAATAGTTCTTATCATTGATACACCGGCGAAATTAAAATTTAAGGTTTTTCAACATATAAACTATTAATACACGAAGTATTGCCAATTTAACATAAGGAGGCTAGAAAATTCCAGGTTCTCAACATAATTGCATGCATAATCTATTCGATTATGAACAATTTTGTAGGTATCCATGTGGGATTATAATACGTCCGGACTTCTCGCATATATATATCGAGCCTCGCCTTGGTTGATAATACGTACTAGTCGTTAGCTAACGTCGTCATCTTCGATTTCCTCATATACTTCGTATATATCTTTCGCTGTGCGTGAATTTAATCTCGAGAGCCGCCGGCGCATAAATAGTTAGTATATGTCGTTCTGCAACAGTGGTGGTGTGGCGGAGGACGGAGGTGAAAGCGCGATCATGGCGGCGTCCAATGACAGGGCGGTGGTGGATAAATACTTCAATGAGATACCTGTGGGTTACCGGTTCGTGCCGACGGACGAAGAGCTGGTGGTTCACTACCTGAAGAACAAGATTCTGGGGAGACCCCTTCCTCGCAACAGGATCCTCACCTGCAACATTTACGAATCCCATCCCCAGATTCTTTTTAGTAAGTCTACTCATTTAATTATATTATAATTAGCGTTCGCATTGAATATAATTTGTCTGGACCCGGCAATTTAGGGTTCGTACGGCAAGTCAGCGTTTAATTACTACAAGTTCATGGAAACCCTAATTAAGCCTTAATATTTTTGGAAATTCTTCACACACACAAAAAAAATGTATCAGGTAATTGAACTCAATACTATTTCATACAGATCGAGCATTAATTTAACGGGAAATATAGTTTTTATTTCAATAGGTCAATGAAATCATGAAAAGGAGGGCAACAAACTAATTATCAATTCTAGATCTCAAAAAATTGTCTTAGGGTTCAAATGTTTAATTAAAAATCATTTTTAAAAATCTTTTGAGTAATTTTTAACTTAACTAGATTAATAAATTAAACTCTTGTGAAAAAATTTGTTAAGATCCGGGGTTCCATCCTAAAAGGTAAACCTGATATATGAGGAGTAGCCTAAAACCTAGCTTATATAGTGTGTTATTGGTTTATAGTTTTTCAGTGTGGGACAAATACTTTAACACGCCCCTCAGCCGGAATCGGAATGGACAATATTGTGGTGTATAAATGAGCCAAACAGACCCGCTATCCGTAAATATGGGTGTAAACAAGCAGTCAAACCACAACCGAAATTGTCTTTGATACCATGTTAAGATCCGGGGTTCCATCCTAAGAGGTCAATCTGATAGGAGGAGTAACCCAAAGTCTTATATAATGTGTTATTATTTTATAGTTTTCCGGTGTTGGACAAATACTTTAACAAAAATTCACCAAAATTTAAAAATAAAAAAGTATACTACGTATAAAAGATGATAGAAACTGTACAAGGCATTCCCCAGACAGTTATGACAGTAAGCCCCAGGAATAGACATATTATAGAATTACTCAACTCATACAAAGCAACCTGATTTGCTAGACACAAAACAGACAAACTTAAGCCTAACATGATAGGAACCGAAATACTGACCATCAAAAGTACTTCCAAAATCCAAATATCCAAACCAAACATACTCGAAGTAAAATAAAAATAAATACTACTAAAGGAAAAATAAAATTGAAATAAATTCTTTTTCACAAAACATTTCTTGGGACGTTGGTGGTTCTGGAGGAGCACGAGCTCTACCATTTCCCACGTAGCCCAAAAAGTACTCTATATTGAAATAAAGCATTTTGCTGTTAAAAATAACACACTACAACATTTTAACCCCTAATGTATCACCCAAAAGTGTTACAATATCACTAAAATATGTTGCATTAGAGAAAATGTAACACCGATTTACCATTACATTTGTTCATGTTGCATTTTATATATTGTAACACTGTACAGTCCCTAATGTAACATGTATACTTCTAGAAAGTGTTACATTAGGTCTATATATGTGTAACGTTTATATAGATGTATTACATCTTTAATGTTACGTTAGGCTAAAAATGTAGTAGCGACTACAACATGACTTTTTAAAAATTACTCCGTACTTGTTAGAGTTGTGAAATAAATTAAAGTAGTTCAATCCAAAAATAAAGTCAAAACGTCATCTTCATTTTGTAATTAATAATTTCCGGACATATAAATAAGTGTTTTTTTACTAGTACTCAGTATATCTTTTGATGAATATAAGTGATTAAAACTTAATTATGCATGGAATATGTATATAGGGATGTACGGTACAATAAGAGAAAGTGCATGCTATTTCTTCACGACAAGGGAGAAGATGAACGCAAATGGGTCAAGACCCAAAAGAAAAGCAGTGAATGGGTACTGGAGGGCTAGCGGGCGTGACGAACCAGTCCGGAGTAGTAAAAACAACCAGGTCGTCGGCTCCAAGAGGACACTTAATTACTTCGAAGGAACTCATCAACTTAAGGGCCGCAACAAGGGCATGAAGACAAATTGGATGATGCATGAATATATTTCCACACATCATCCAAACTCTATCCCTCATCCTTCAAATCCTTCCTCAAAGATGGTAAGTCGTTCATATTTGATTGGCAAATCGTAAGAACTTTAATTTTAAGACATTATTGCAATAGATTCGAGCAATTTAAGTACAAAATAAAAGATGAGATAATGACTTGAATCAATCAAATGTATTGCAGGTAAATATGTGACTTACGGTTGTACTCACATGTTTAGTTTCACCCATTTCTTTAAAATTTATAGAGCAATCATATGTTAATTTTTGTTTGAATTTTATTTTAAGAAATTGTTTCATATATGATTAAAACGAAAATAAATTAAAAAATTTAGATATTTAGATAATCATACTACTTATTATCTTTGTATGCATGCTATTCATACAATTTATACGTTTTATTATAATATTTTTAATAGGGAATATTTTGATATAATTTTCATACTTTGATATAATTTTCGTAGTATCATTGGTCAATCTTCAATATCTTTGACTAAGAAAAGTTAAAGATATTGAGAGGGAGAGAGTGAGTACTAAGTAAGAGTTTATTCTCAATATAACATTTATTAGATTCTTTTAAACAAATTGTTCTGTCTATGTCTTACTCTCTTCGTCCCATTTTACATATCCTACTTTCCCTTTTTAGAAAGAAATATGTGATTTAGATCATTTCATTTTATTATACTTAAACCTTAATCACAACTTTTACTTTTTCAACTATTTTATGAATAATCACAAGTCCAAGTGAGACACATAAAACAAAACGGGACATAGTATTACTTTTAGAGTTTTATTTAAGGAGTTCTCTCTTTAATTTTTGGTACGCTATTGCAGAAGCTGGATGACTACGTTTTGGTCAAGATATACCATAAAGCTGGAACGACTACCCCTCCTGAGAATGAAGACATCATCAATGATAGTATGGAGAATAAAGATGAAATGGGGATGGTGAGTTTGCCTGATAAGAAGCAGCAGGTGCTGGAAACATCACCAGTGGAGCTGTGGTCCTCTTCTGATGGAGCAGGTTTGATGCTAGGATCATCACAGCTATCATTCCAATATAATGAAAGTGATGATCTTCACATCCAGCTTACCTATTCTACTCCTACTAACCCCCCGCCGCCTCCGCCTCCGCAAACGATGCAACATCACCTTGAGATTAACAGAGAGGCGGCGGAGGAACTTTTAGGCCGCCGGGGGAGCAACCACACCCGGCTGCATGATCACAGTTGGCCGGCAAAGACCATTATTTCGCCAGCTGCGGCTTCTTGCAGATACCCATCGGCGCCGCCCTGCTATGATTTTGGGATCCCCTTCATCTGGCAAAATGATCAAGGCCTGCCTCCACTTCCGCCATCATCATATCATAACCCATTACTCCTGCATCCTAGTCGCCTAGTAATGCCCACTCGTGCTGCTTCTGCGGTGTACCCACCGGCGGCTGACGGCAGAGGTTTTCAAAACGGAGGCTGCCAAGGAAACCCTTTTGCTACCACCTCTTATTACCCAAAAGAAGATGTGTGGGAACTACATGGTTTAGTTGCTGCTGCTATTAATAATAATAATAATAACAACACCAACAACAACAATAATAGTAATAATAATAATAAGCCTGCAGCAGAAGGTGTGGCAGATATAGATGAAGCTCCTCCTAATTATAATAAACACGAGAAGTTCGTTTAATGGTACTCCCTCTATATTAGTTGTCTATTTGTCTTTTTCACATGGTTTAAGATAATTATTGTAAACATTATAAAAGGTAAGATGAGATGTTTGATATTGTAGCGGTCCGATCCTGTAGTGATACTTAATGGTACTGTACTTGCATTTTGAGTGAGTTTCTTTCCAAAAAGAGAAATTAAATGAGACAACTAAAGTGATATAGAGGGACTACTATTCTTTAATTTCTAGATCAGAACTTGATACTTTAGGCTAAACGTACTGATCGAACAGCTTCTATCTAAGTCGAGTTTGTAATCTTTGTTTGTATGAGTGCATGGTTATAAATTAAGTGTTGCTCCGTAAGAAATTGCTCCAAAATATGAATGTAAAAAAAACATGCAATATTGCAATGCATGCATGCATGAGTAACGTTAACAAATACTACTAGAATCAAGTACAGTATGTTAAATTCTCATTATAGAATTTATGTAGTCTTATTATATATAAAAAAGAGAATATAATTGCTATAGAAATTAAAGGACTAAAACATACGGAGTATATAAAATATAGAAATAAGACTACTTATGTTTTATTCACAAAATATGACTTATTTAATTGAGCGTATCAAAAGTACAATCTTATCTTTACAATGTGGTGTTTATGTTTTAATCATATTTAAAAAATATTTGTCTAGTTTTGTCTATGTCATAATTTGACATTATCACTTATAATCAAGTGATGACACTTTCAATGTCATGATTGGTAATATTTTTCAAGCATGGTAATGATTAGATACTTTTGTGTGTGTGTATATATATCAATCATCATTTACCCCAGTGCCACAAAGGCTCCCACCTACGGTGGGGTAAGGGGGGGTCGGATGTACGCAGTCTTACCCTGTACTAAAGCACAGAGAGACTGTTTCCCGATGACCCATAGTGAAAATTGCGACCAAAATTGCATGGACTGACCGCTACTTCATAACAAAGAAGCGCAGACAATTAGGTGAGCCATTTTGCTTTATTCCATCATATTCTCAAGCCAAAAAATAATGAATCTTTGGCTCCATTGCAAATGATGAAAAGATTAGATACTTGTATATATGTGAAAAATGTAGTACTACTATTTTACAAAAGGAAAATTGTCTTAAATGTGTCTGTCATGTTTTGATAGTACCAGACTTTAAAAGGACAATATTTTCACCACTTGATTAATTATAATTACTCATATTTAGGGAATAAAAGCATAGTCGTCATATTTTGGAATTCTCAAACGTGTTTACTCCAATTTTGGAAATTTTCACTTATAAAATCACACTGTTTTACTCATTTACTGTATTTGTGTTAAAATTTCCTAAAATAGTTTAATTAAATTCTACAAAAGGTAGTAATAAAAACTGTTAAGTTCTTAGTTTGAGGTAGTATTTATATACTTGGATTTATATACTGGTGGAGGTAGTATCTATCTTGTATATATTTCTTCCATTTCGTAATTAAGTTCTTAGTTTGATATCACATGTTTTTAGACAAATTAAATAATTCTCTATCTTTGCATTCCAATTTGTTTTTCAAAATTATCTATATTGATTATTCTAAAATTATTTTCCACTTTCTATTTTAGAAATAAAAGTGAATAAATTGACAAACTTACCTTTACTTTTGTCACATTTTCTTTTACCTAAATGACTCTATTTTATGGGAGAAAGAGCAAATTATTAAAGCAGTTCTTAATTTTTAATCTTTATTAATTCCAACTTTTCATGTCAAATTTGGATGGAGGGAATATTTAATTAATTTTCCAATTATTCCACTCATCAAATTTATGATAGAGAAAATTAATAATGATGTACTTTTCGATCATAGGAGGATTATTTATCAAATAATAGATCATATGAGTATGATTATTGTTCACATATTACTAAACAGAGAAGTGGTAGCCTTATTGCATGATATCCAAAAAGGAAGGTGTTAATTTACTTAATAATCAATTCCGTGACAAAATTGCACAAATAGGACTACATTTTTTAAATACCCCCAATAGGACTATTTATGTATTTTTTGGGCAAATATACTCATGTAGCTTTTGAGATGTTTTAATTAATAATAAAGTCATAAAAATAATAAAAAATCGTAAAAACTAATAAAACTAATAAAATATTTATAGAATAAACATTTTAAGTTTTTTTAAAATTAAAATTAAAAAATTTATTAAAATTGTAAAAAAAAAAACACCGCCACCTCAGCCACCAGCTCCCATCACCGGAGGAAATCTGCCAACATTTTTATTAAGCCATAATGATGACAGATTCAATGAAAATTTTGGCATAATGAAGAGTAAAAATGCCATCTTCTTGGCATTATTAAAAAAATGGCATTTTTTATTTTTACAAAAAGTGGCAGAATTTTCACCGATCGGGGGTGGTGGTGCTGGGAGGCAGTGAGAAAGGTATTCTTTTTTTTAAGGGTTTTTACTATTTTTTTAAAACAATTCAAAAAAAAATAAATTTTTTATTTCATAATTATTTTATTAATTTTTACTATGTTTTTTTTATGATTTTTTACTATTTTTAGGATTTTTTTTATTATTTCATGAATTGAAGCATTTCATAATGAATTAATACCTTTAGGGGTATTTAGGGTAGAAAATCAATGTTTAATCCTATTTGGGGAATTTAAAATATAGTAGTCCTATTTATGCTTTTTAGGGACTCATTAGTTCTATTTAGGACATGCAATAACTATTTACTTAATTATATATGGGACAATGAGAGTATGTGGCATGTGGAGTTAAAGATACTTTTCGTAAATAATAAACACAAATTATATGCATAAACATATACTCTATTCATCCTATAAAACGTACATTACTTTTTTTTACTCCAGAGGTCTGGGGGAGGGGGCTGGGGGTCTAGAGTAATCAAACTCACTCCATTGAGTTTCCAACTCTTGTGTGCCTAACGGGATTCGAACTCGAGACGTCCCATTAGGCCTTGAACAATGGTGACCAGAAATTAATCTGATACGTAGTACAATACTTAGATTTTGTAAAACTTTGATACATGATATGAATAGAAGATTCAATTTTATGAAAAAAGGTCCAGACATTAATAGTATTTATAATCCATCAGTTAAGCTCATATACTTTAAAAAGTACTCCCTCCGTCCCGAATGATAAGGCACTATATAGTTTACGATGTTTGACCGACGACATTGCAAACAGATCTCTGTCCGCACTCAAATTATTTTTAGAAAAAAGGGATTACATACTCAGAAACTACATTGAAAGTTTTACAAAGTCGCAAAAACCAGAACCAAATTTGACAAAATTTTGATATATAAAGTGAGAGATTAAGAGTGATTTGTGTTGACCAAGCGAATATGAAAGATATCTTACAATATGAGACGGAGAGAGTACTATATAAGTTCAATTGCTTCCATGACTCAGACCCGCCCTTAGTAACACCTGGTTCGGGCCTAAGCGGACTGGTTCAAGGCCCGATTTCCAAACATTGCCGGGCCGGGCCGGGCCACGGGCCGGGCCGGGCCGGGCCACGGGCCGGGCCGGGCCACGGGCCGGGCCGGGCCACGGGCCGGTCAGCCCGGAACTGGTCCATTCCTAATTAAATGTACTATAATAATATTATAATATTATTAATTTATTACGGAGTATTATAACTAAAACCAAATGTGACCTCAATTTTACACTTAGAACCGTCTCCAAATTCATCGAAAATGGTGTACACATTTGTCTTTTTCACAGTTGTTTGTCTTATAAGTTACTGGCCGCGTTTGTATATCAGCGGATCCGCCAAAAATTGGAGGGTTTGACTATTTCGGCGTGTTGGACCAGTGAAACCGCTGAATATCCGGCGTTTGGTAAACAGAGGTTGAGGATAGCGATTCCTCTGAATCCGCCGAAAATCAAAACGCTGGGAATCGCAGCGTGAAGGTTTTGGCGGTTTGGAATAATTACTAAATTCTCGCCCTTGCCCTCCGATCTTCCCAAATACTTTTTCGTTTTATCCATTGAAGCATACGTTCCGATTGCGCTTTGTTCACAGAGTTATTTTCTTCCGCTGATTTCTTCTTACTGAACGTGTAGTGCTTTTGTTGGAAAAAGTGTGTTAAAATTGCATTAAATGGTCATTTTGGGGCAATTTTTTGAGTGGGGTCCACTTCCGATTTGGGTCGGGTCAAAGTGGTTTCGGATTGTCCTTGCTTAGGGCTACAATTCGATATATGGTACGCTCAAAACGGATAAGGGTGAATGAGAAATCGTTTTTCAAAGTTTACCCGTTGGAATGGAGAAAACTAGGAAAATGATGGGTTTCTAGTGTGGTTTTTCCCACACCGGAAAACCCAAGGGAATTTGAACCCTTTATAAAGGGAAACCCCCCTTGAGGAGTTAAGATTCCTTAGGGTAAAGGCTCTCTCCACGCGCGCAGGGGGGGGTGCGAATCAAATCCCGAAACCGGAGAACAAAAAGCCCGACTTGCGTGCGCGGGCGACCTGCGGACACGAATGTCGTCCGAAAACTCTATCTTGTAAAGATAAACGTTAATTTTTGTTCCTCCGATAGTTTCCTAATTTTTGCTCCATGTTGGAGCAGGCCACTGCTACGTCCGCAGTGGGCTCGGCAGCAGGCTGCTGCTCCGTGCGAAACGATCGTTGCAACGCTCCTAGCACCCCGGGAGGCAACGAATACGTTTTAAGGAAATCGTGCTTGGCACGAGCTTTGGCTTATTCTGCTTCATCTCATTTCTCGTTTTTCCTTTAAGTCATTTTATTTAATTAATTTTATTAATTAATTTTCTTTGTTTTTCGAAACACACCCAACAATCTTAAAACGTATTCGGTGATTGTTCTACTGCGGTAAACAATCTTACACTTGTAGTTTGTCACCTTGGTGAACGAACTTGTTTCTGTGTTTCTGAAGAACGTAAGAAACGGAAAAATGACTTCTCAAGAAAATGAAAATGTTGTTGGGCAGAATGCTTTGAACGGTTTGAACGATAATCAC